CCTCCCCTTTTTTAAAATACCTTCGATCTGGTACGTCTACAGGCCTTGTCAGAGAAGGTACCACACGCCTGAGTACCAATAGTAAAAGCAGAGATGCCGTAAGTTGTTGCTTTTCAGTATCGTTTTGCCAGTTCTGTGCTCCCTGAACACAGATCACCTTCCTAAAGCACTAGCCTCACTTTTACCACAGCTAGGGCACAACTATTAACATCCTGGGCTGAAGCTTAGAGGATAAAGCATAGCAGATCAGGCCTCAATGGAACTCCAAGGCCTCATAGCTGTGATGCAGGTATGTTGAGGGTAGGGATTACATTTTAATTTTTCAGTGTGGTGTCATTAACTGAGTTTTAGGATATAGTTTGCTAGGAGTTCAGCATAGGATTAGCTCCCCTTTCGTCATGCTGACAGCTTCTGAAATATCCCACCCTTCAGTGTGAAAGGATATCAAATGTTACAGGGTGACTATCACCGCATTGACATAAGGGTTTTCTGCTTTCTTCTTGGGTGTCTGTTAAGCCTTGCCATACATGCAGGATAGTACATGTGGAAATAGTAATTGCAAGCCCATTATTATTATTGCTATAATTTATTATTAGTGTGTTTTTTTTATTTTATGGTGCCCACGTGTGCAGGTAATTCACAGAAAAGCACACTTATGCCATTGGAAGGTTAATTAACTGCAATAGCCTTGGATCCAGTTTCAATACCTTTTTCTACTGCCAAACTTTTTCCCTGGACTTCAGGCAAATCACTTTGGGGCAGCTTCAGACACCCTGTTGTATTGAATAGTGCTCTGGGAGTGTTTCAGCTCTGTGCTGTTTGTTTCCAGTGAGGGGCAGTTGGGTCAGACCCTCCTAAGGCTGTGTGCACCTGATGCTCTTCTCTCCAGCGAAATAGCCTTACCGCTCTGCAGTGGGAGGAGGGAGGGATAGGAGTAACTCAAACTCCTCAACAGTTGTGAGTTGCTGACTGTGAGATAAGCCAGATACGAAGGCAGATAAATATCTGTTTCAAAGAGGTTACCATCTAAATAGAAACTACATAACAAATAGGATTGTCTTCTATCTCAGAATAACGACCGCAGCTCCTGCCTACTAACTGGTACGAGAGAAGGCTGACACGGCTTTAACGGCCTCGCTCTGGCAGGGTATGGGGATCTCTTATCTAGATTTGGGGAAAGCATCCGAGGCTCTGGGTGCTGAATCAGTCGGTGGGTCCCACCTTTGCGAAGCAGATGACAGAGCAGTGCTTACGTTACATCAGAAGTGCTCATCAAAATGAGGCGGCTTGGGGCCGCATTCATGCTGCCTGCTTTGGTGTTTTATAGATGAGGGAGACCAATTCAGACTACCAGGGAGCAGTGACCCTGAAATGGGTTTATACAAGGAGGGCTGCAATTAGAGTCTTGCCCAACCAAGGGGATCTGACTGTCCGTTGAATCAAACATGAGTTGGTCAGTCTATTGGGTATGGCCTTCCACGCGGTCAAATCAGAGCTGCTAAGGTGAATCTTTCCAACTTCCTCATGGAAAGCTGGCTTTTTACAGCTTTGCAATATGTCTGCAGGATGTTTTCATGAACCGAATGTTTGCCAAAAGTTCACAGATCAGTTACAAAACAGATGTATTTTTTTTTTTTCTCCCCTTCTTCCTACTGGTAAGGAAGAGTTTGTGCAGTAATTGCAGGCAGGTTGGGAGATGTTTTCTTCATAATTCTCCTTCTTATGAAATGTTTATGAAACACCTTCCACAAATCGGTTACGCAAGCAAGCTGAGGAGCTTTGATCATTTTCCATCGCCCTCAATATGTTTCTTAGTTTGTTTTGCTTTTTGTTTTTGTTTTAGGGCCAGAGATAGGCAAGAAACAATCCATCCTTGGCCAGGCCCAGCAGATGTGCCAGCCAACTAAGGAAGGGGCTCTCTTGCCATCCAGTCACCCTTCCTGTGTTTTTCACACTAATTGCTCGGGGGCAGCTGACCCTATTTTAAGGCTGTGAAAACATCCACTTGAGATTTGCAAGTGTGATTCCTTTCCTCTGTGGGAGAAGCCATAGGTAGCTCTATGTACCAGTGCCACCGCCTGCCCTCACCTCCTCAGGAGGAGCTCAAAGCTGCTCCCAGCCCTGCCCAGAGACTCCCCTTGAGCCCAGGGAGAGGAAGGTGCCGTAGATTCCCAACCCGGGCTCCGCACCTCTCCCTAGATGTCAGTGGGCTGGATCTGTTTGCAGTGCATTGCTTGGTCCCGCTGTTTCACAAGTCTGTTTTTCCTTAGGTAGTGTTATTTCCCCAAATCAAGGTCAATGGCAAGAAATTTAGGTTTGCTCTCTGACTTCTTCTTCCCCATCTGTCCTGATCATTGTGTAACGGCCCTGAGAAGCCACAGTGGGATCTGGTCCTGGTTTTATCTAGATCACTGTTGCTCACCTGCAGTGTTTCAACAAACACTTACATGAGGTCATTCTGTGATAATTTCAACCTTGTTTGATTCCTTAACGAAAACTTTCCTTGCATCTGTAGAAAACGCCTGCAAATATGAGTCAGATGCACTGGGAAAGGGGAAGGCAACTCCTCCCCTTGTTTTATTAAATTGAAATTTACATTATTTTAAGGGAGTCTCATGATATTGAACGGCCTCGCCCACAATGTGTGTGGTTTTTTGGGGTTTTGGGTTTTGGTTTTTTTAATGTACGGTTGGTAATATTGCCGGTTTAGCCAGGGAAAAAAATGAAGGTGCAGGATTTGCATAAACCATCCCAAAAGTTTTGGATATACCCCGAACTCTTGCTAATGAACAATTAGCCAGCTGCAGGCCTGTTGGGGAGAAGAAGAGGAGGGAGAGGTAAATTTGAGCCTAAACCCAATGAAAATAGGTGCAGGGGAGACGGATTTGTCAAGAACACCCAGGTTCCCGCCCACTGCACAGGAGGGAGCCAGAGAATTCCAGGGACGGGGGAAGGAGCAGTGGGAGATGTTGTTGTTTTTAAATCGGGAACCGGTCCTTTGCCAAACCCACCTCCCGTTCTCATATTGTGCGATGCCGGGATGCAGCTACACACCCCTTTCACCCTGGAACGCTTCCAAATCACTCTGCTTGGCAGCTGTAAAAATTGATTTCAGTTTGGAAATGGCTTGTGCTTCTTCAACACTCCACTCCAATTGGGATCATAACTTAGGCAGGATCAAGCGCCTTGTTCTCTAAGACGTGGATAACTTTTCTTTTTGCGACTGTTCAGACTTGGATGACTGCGTTGTGTGAGGCAGACACACATGAATTGCAAGCAGGGGTAATTTATTTAATTTTTTAAGTTTATTTTTACTTTTTGGCTCTGATGACTTCTTCTTAATGCATTCTTAGAAAGAAAAACATGCATAAAACCGTTTGCTTGCGATGACCGGATGGCTCAGGGGTAACGGTGTATTGTCCTGAGCCTTTTGTCTATCATTTAGTGACTTAAACACCATCCGCATTGATAGCGATCAAGAAGATCTTTCCATCGATTTTTTTTTTTTCCGCCAGGCTAAGAGGGATGATCATGCCAACCTGAAAGGTAGGAAAGAACTGGAATTCGTAGCATGGATAACTCTTGTTGCAAGGAGCTACTATTATTGCAAAACTCGTTTCGGCAGTGTCCAGAGCTGTAGTCGTAACGAAAAAACATGTTGTAATTCTCTTCCCTCTGCATGGTACCTTCCAAAATGCAGAGCTTACTGTTACAGGGCCAGCTCCTCGCACCGCAGCTGCGAGCCTCTTGTGGTCACCTTTTCTCCTTCGCTCCTGTGGAGATTTGTGTATTTGTTTGCCTGAGTCAAACTGAAATACAACGTCCCTCAACCAAAAAGACTCGTTTGGGCCATTGTTTTTAAGAGTTGAATTTCTTGTCCCCCTCTGCTGGTAGGAGGTTGTATGGCCTGAAGTCCACATCAGCACTGCAAAGCCCCGGCAAACACGACCCTGCTCTTCTTCTGAGGGATGTTGGACTCAGGAGTAATTTGATGGGAAATGGTGAGGTTCAGCCCTAGTAGTAAAGGTGAATGTGCATTCTCACACTTAGGAAAAATCTGAGCTTAAGTTTGGAACTTGTTTGCTTGGATTATTTTAGTTAAAATGTGTTAGAAGAACTCTGCATGACTTTTCTGTCTACTGTGCATGGCAGCTGCACATAGACACTCCTCAGATAGCTTTCAGGAATTAACCTAAAACACTCTAAAATCTCCCCAACCAGGTTCCCCTCTTGCCTGTCCCAGTCAGCCTTACCAAAGGGTTTCAGGGATGTAACAGTTCATTGTGTTTTGGTTTGGTTTGATGTAGCAGCAATGTTAGAAATTAAAGTAGAGACTATGGAATAAACCAGATACAAGGATTCAGGATAAGGGAACAGATATTTTCTTGCTTGACCAGTAGTATTTCTTGCTGCTTTCTGGTAGAAGCTGAGCAAGTATGTTTGGTGCCTTGCATGCCACGTTTCCAAGTCCAGAATATTACACTGTTTTTTGAGGTCTTCTACTTCATGACCTTTTCTTTCCCATCCACTTGTACTGTTCTCTGCTACCTGCAGAAAAAAAATGAGAGGTCACCTATAGCCAGCCCCACCATCAGGTTGTGAGTCATGATTTTTAAAGAATTGCTTTGTGTCTTCCTTAACGCCACAAAATGCCTCAGTGTTTTGTCTGAGAAAAGCAGTCCCATGCTTTAATCCCTGCTAAATCACTGAAAGTTGGTTATTTCCTAAAGTGTTTTAATGAATTTGTTTTAATTGAGCAAACTGCAAGCCTCCCCTTGGCTTGACAGTGCAGGAAATCTATGTCCATATTATAAGTGGGGAACGACCATGCCTTTTTGCAAAGCCAGGGATGGAAGCAGCAAGTCCTGACCTCTCTTTTCTCTGAAAGGACCCCTTCCCAACCCCAATCCCTTCCAGCCTCTGCCTCCTGGCCACCCCACACCTCCTACATCCCCTTGTCTCTGCTCCCTAAATGCTACAATTACTTTGCTCTTTTCCAGATTAAAACTGAGGACCTCAGCGACTCCTTGCAATCTACAATCCCCCCTAGGTCAGGTCACCTTGTGCAGGGATCATCAATGATGCCCGGAAGCCAAATCTCAGGGGTAAGTGACTTTGCTCCTTCAAGGATCCAGAAGTCTGAAAAGGCACTGGTTTAATGAACCTGCAGAGAAAAGGCTGGTTTTGAGATATCTGCCAGATTACATATGCTTTTTGACAGTGGCAAAAGGAGGCTTGAGGGCATGAAGGACACTAAATGGGGAAAATGAATCCGTGTTGGCAGAAGTCAGCTTCCTCCTCAGTCTCTTTCCTTTCTGCAGAAAGTTTTACATGAGTTCAAAGGTAGACTGGACACGTACTTGGAAGAGATTTCCTTTGCAGGCTAAGCAGGCAAACCACACCGTGCTTAGGAAATCCCCTCGACTGAAAAATAATTGGAGGCTGAGACAACACCAAAGGGAAGTGTTGGATATGTTTGCCCTGGTCTTCCTCTTTCATGAAGGTCTGGTTAATGCCACTGCTGGAGATAGGTTTCTAGGCTAGATTAACTCTTGATCTGAACTAGTATAGTCATCCTTGAATATGATGGCCCAAATTGATTTACACTAGAGAAAAAATTAATTCCTTGAGGGAACTTTTTTCCCCTAAGGTGAAAAATTGGAATTTAGCACTTAACTCTTGTTAAATTCTAGTGGAGTTAGGTGCCAGCAGGCCACACAGCTGCTCACTGATCTCTTCTCTTGTTCTTCTGTGGAGTATTCAGACCCCTTACACAATTCAGGGACTGTTCAAGTTCCCCAAGGCTTCAAAACAGTTCTTGAGAAGCTCAAAGATCTCATTTTATTGATTAATGAGCCCCTTTAAAAATGAACCTCTAAAGGGAGTTGGTTTTACTGGGGTTGGTTTGGCTTGGTTATTTTAGTGTCTGTCCCAAGCAAATGCAAACTCTTATCCCCTAGTCCCAACAATGGACCTGGGGCTGAGACCCCAGTAATGCAAGAGCGCTAGGATGTAATCCTCATCTCTCAGTACCTATTGTCTGATCTGCTCGCTGCAGAGTGGAGAATTCCTGGCAGATATGTGGCAAAGAACAGGAAACCTTTTTGGGTCAGGTCACTGCATCCGTTGCAAAGTGTTTTCTGTTGGTGCAGAGAATTGGGTCCTGCTGGGTATTGCTACTTTCCCATCTTGGCACACAGCTGGCTGGGAAATCAGCCTTCTGTGGAGAGTGGGCTCTTGGTGTTTGTGAAATGGGGTAGTCAGCTGCACTTTCCTGTGTAATTTTAGGGTGTTCACTCTCTGAAAACGCATTATCTGGAAGAAACTGAAATCCAAGAGGTTTCACTGTTACTTCAAACAATCAGGTTTCAATTGCCAGTACCTCAAAAATGACATTTTCGTGAATTGACTTTTTTCAGATAGAAGTAGTCAATTCTCCGTGTGGATGTTTGTGTGCGCACAGAATTCTTCTTACACAGCTGAAAACTTCAGATCCTGCAGTGCCTCTGGATCTGCAGCTCTCCAGTTCATGAATTGCACAAATCTGGTGTGATGGCAATTAAATTAAAAGTGTGAATGGGGTCAAGGACAACATAAAAGAGCAGGGAAGCTTTATAGGAGAAGTGATCCTATGTGAAGAGCAGACATATATCTGAGTTTTGATATTCCCTTTGCTTTTCCTCATAGGATATGAGCTCTCTTCACACCCTGCAGCAGCTGGTATTGCTTCCTGGTCACATGCAGTCGGTTCCCCAGTTTCTTCTGTCTCAGTCTCAGGCCGGGCAGCAAGGTAAGAGCAATAAAAGCTGAAACGGTCATTGTCATAAACAGACACGTACCTAGGAAAAACCTCCCTTCTCATGACTGTTGCTTTTAATCCGGTCTGTTACGTTTTCCCAGAGTGATGGTGCTTGTTCCCCTGTTATGTTACCAGCTGCGTTTTCCCCTGTCCTGGTTCCCGCACCAGGGATGGTCCCTTACACGTCCTAGTTGCTCCAGGAAGGGTCTGGTTCCGGAGATGCTCCTGGCACCTGTGGCTTGTGTGCACCAAGAGTGCCACCTTGGGGCCAGTCTTTGCAGACTGGGTAGGGATCTCGCCTCTGAAATTCAGGACAGCACCTGGCTGGCTTTCAGCAAAACAGCAAGGAGCAGTTGCAGCCTGCCTGGGCTTCCAGCCTCGCTGGGTTAGTATGCTTCATTTCTTCCAGAAAAGTGATGAGAGCCTCAGTGGATATCTCCAAGTACCTTAGAGGGAGAGCAGATCCAGGGAAGGAGCTGAGCTGCTCTGGTGGAAGGACAATGCTGGCACTAAAACAAACAGATCCAACCTAGCCAGGAGCAACCTGGGGACGAGAGCTGAGAGGTTCGGAGTTGCCAGTGGTTGTTCCCAAATCTCACTCCGAGCTATGGAGCAGGAGAAGACAGGAGGTCTACTTCTGAAACTCAGTGTAATGGGCTCCTTGAAATGGATGAAAGGACTGAACACAATGCTTGAGAGAGTCCCTGCGTTCCTACTTTTACCGTCGTTACTTGTTATGGCATTTGCCCAAAACCAGGGATACAGACGTGCTACTGGTGAAGTTTTATGCAGCTTGTGGATAGACAGACACAGGCTCGATCCACAACTTCACAGATGTAAAGAGACTTGGGTCCTTTGCTCACATTCTTGATTTATTCCAGTACAGACGTCCCTCCATAAGAATGAAAATTCAGAATTAAAACCTTAAATCTCTGCAGCTCAAATGCAATGGTACATATCCTCCGAAAGAAAACTATTATATTGTAGGCAAGTGGGAAACTTCTCATTGACAGTATACATAAGCTCTTCTCTCTGCCAAATGATGCTGAGTGATGTATAAAGAAACTACTCGATGTATATTTAACAATAATCTAGAATTCAGTTTGTCTGAAATGGCTGAGTCAGGATAATCTATTGCTTACTGTCTGCTTTTATTAATATATAACAGGAAGCAGATTATTCTGGAAAACAGAACTTGCCTCCTTTTATAGAGTTAGAGATCCTTCTGTTAAGTGACTTCCTTTGCGGCTATAACCCCTGCAACAGATGGCCAGCTTTTTGGCCATAACCCCTTTTGGTTCCAGACTTGATAAAGGCTGGATACTCTGGCCAGTAGCCAGCTCTTTGTGGAAGAGCACTTCTATTTGAATAAATGATTGCCAAGCTTTAATGATCCTTTGCCATGTGCATGCACAGCTGCTGCAGAGTGAAAGCAGGCTTAACCTTTCCGAGAGGACATGTGTTTTGGTTTGGGTTTAGTGTTTTAAAACTGTTTCTAACTCAGATAAGGTCCCTGGTCTGGTTCATTATGCCCTGATCTGATTCATTGTGCAGCTCTTCAAGCAGCTCATGCTGGCACACTTGGATAAGGGAGTAAAAGCTCCATGCCATAAAGGTGGAAACAAGCAGCCAGGTAGATGCTGGGAATGCTGTCAGTGAACACATCGCTGCTCAGGTCTTCATCTTACGAAAACACAGCCCCGCTCTCATCAGCTGTCAAACCGGTGATTCCTGAACCCAGTCCATAATTTTCATTTGAGCTAGAGCTTAGCTTTTGCAAAGGTGTTCAATCATGATTTTAAAGACTCCAAATGACAGAGCATCCGCCATGTCCCTAGGCAAGCCATTCCGGTGATTAATTACCTTCACTGTTAAAAATGTGCACCTCATTACCAGCCTGCATTTGAAAGTCAAAGTTGTTCCAGCATTAGAGAGCCTTATTGAAACACCAATCTAAATAAATAAATGGGATCCTGCACATTCAGATCTAAATTAAAAAAGGAAAGACAGAAAGAGAGGGTGTGATTGATTCTGGAGATGGTATTTTTTCTTTATTTTTTTTTTTTAGCAGAAGTCCATAAATTTCTATAGTTTTCCCTATAGTTGTCAGTTACAATCAATAGAACATATTGACTCTTTGAGGAAAGGTTATAAATCCTCACTAAATTCTATAGGTTTCACCTACAACAGACTTGAAGAACCTAAGGAAATCTCTAGGGAACCACAATGGATCAGTCCCTACTTAACCCTTTAGGGTGTTCCCTGTGAGAGATACAGGCTTGTACCTGGCAGTTTGTCAACTAAACAATTATACAACCTCCATAAATACCAGGTTTTGCTAGTTTTATAGATTTCCCTTCTTTTTCACTTTCATCCTTTTGTGTCATTTTGTATGTTCCACAAGCAATTCGATTTATTTGAAGTACAGCAGGGTAGGGGGGAAAAAAGGGTCAGATGACTTCAAAATGACACTTCAAAATGAAATGTACAGTAGAAAGCAGAGTGCGTAGGCTCATGAGATTAACTGTAGGATCAGGACTTTTTTAACCAGATCAAGTGGCTGAAAGTTGGAGATAGAAAAGCTCCTATTGGAAACAAGACCCGCATTTTTTAAACAGCTATAATGATTAAGCACTGGGAGAGATCACCGCTAAGGATGTAATGAATTCTCTGATGCTTGGCATCTAAAATCAAAGTTAGATGTCTATGTAAAATGTCTGTGCCCTAGTTCAGCCTTAGGTTAATGAGCTACATGCGTGGATCAATGGGCGAGATACTTTACCTATATCATCATTGTAATAATCCCTTTCAGGTTAAAAGCCATGGAAAGAACCTTTATTTTCTCCTAATCCAACTCGGAGCTATGCACATTTGTAACGGCTGAAATTCTCATTTTGAACAAGAGTTAGCTGCCATTCTCCATTCAGAGCTTCGTGAGTCTTCCCTGTGCAGAGCGATGCTCAGCTGCCTGGGTGCTGATGAAGGAGCTGGTCTGATCAGATGCATCTCTTTTTCTCTCCTCAGCTTTGCAGCCAAACCTCCTCTCCTTCCCCCAGCAACAGGGCAGCCTTCTCCTCTCCCAGCCGGGACCCAGCCTGGCATCACAGGTAACTTGCCTCAATGTTCAGTCCTCCTTGAGAAGCAGCCATCTACAAAAGTGCTGTCTCATTAAGGGCAAATGGCAGGGAAAATAAAGTGTGTTTTTTCCATTGTTGTGACTCTATGCATCTTTGTGGTTGTTATAACAGGCCGTGGGCCGTTCTGGACTCCCTGGCTCATCGGTTGAACCCCACCTGGATGTACCCCAGCATTTGCAAGTGGCAAAGCACTTAACTCCATCAGGAGCATCCGAGGAACCCAGTGACCTAGAGGAGCTGGAAAAGTTTGCTAAGACTTTCAAACAAAGGCGAATCAAATTGGGGTTCACGCAGGTAAGCAGCCTCATCAGTGGGAAGGGTGGCATCACTTGTGACATGGACGTGTTGGACTGGGGGAGTTTGCGGCAGAGGCGTGGATGGAGGAAGGGTTGGATTAGATACAGTTTGGCCTCCTTTGGAGCATCCACTTCCAAACACATGAAGAGACAAACCCTTCTTAATGCTTCGTTACCGTGATCCCATTATCTGCACCTTCTTCACTACACAAAGGCTCAGGCAGACTCCAGTGGGAAAAGAAATCACTTTCTCTGGAAGGCAGGTCATGGAAACAAGGCTGAGCCTATTCTGGCAGCAAGCTGAGAGGTGTTCTTGACAGCAGGAAGCTGTGGGGTTTTTCCTGAGCTCATGCTGTGACTTGGATCTTCCCTGGCAGGGTGACGTTGGACTTGCCATGGGGAAGCTCTACGGCAATGACTTCAGCCAGACCACCATTTCCCGCTTCGAGGCTCTCAACCTGAGCTTTAAGAATATGTGCAAGCTCAAACCCCTGCTGGAGAAGTGGCTGAGTGATGCAGGTAGGTGACATTACATGCAGAAACACCACCCGCCTTGGCCAGCAGAGCCATCCAGGAACCTCTAATAAAAGTCAGCACCATCAGAGCTGAAGCTAAGACCTCTCAGATCTGTGACTGGGCTGGTAACAGGCTGCTTTCCTCTGTAGACCACATAGCAGGTTGCACAGCATATCAAACCGCATCTGTCCTCTCATTCTGGCAGTGTGGGATTCACATTGCAACTGATGTCTGGGGCAGCCCCTTCCTGCATTGCCTCTTGCTTTGTTGAGTGGCCTGGGGCAAATCACTGGGCTAGTCCATTCAGTTCCTCCCTGTGTAAACCAGAAAGATTAGGAAGGGACTCCTAAAGTGCCCATGAGCAGTAATTAGGGAGGGAGGATGTCACTGCGAGGGGAATTCACAGTAGCAGCAGCGTTGGGCTGGTGTCCTCTGATGGCTGCAAACCACTGGTATTACCTTCACGTGCTTCATTTGCCCTTCAGGGGTTGCGTGTTTGACCAGTGTACATCAGGAGGTGTCTCAGCCACGTGAGGCCTGATCCCAGGGGCGTAAGTCAACATCGTTAACTGTGTGAAATTAAATCCTTGGAAAACGCGTGGTCCGCATCAGAGCAGGCTGAAAATCAAGCTGGAAAAATAGTGTGTTGATTAAAATGTTAGTGCTAACATTTCTGCCCTGATTTGGACAAGATCACTGATGGATTTGGGACTGTTAGAGCAGTTTTTAATCATCATCATCAGAGGATATATCCACAATGTAGGAACATTTTACTTATTTTAGGAGGTGCCGTATTTCTCAGAAAGGATCTAGGAACAAAAAATAACTCATTGTCCTATTGAATATCTCTCTTCTCCTCCCTCTTTCCCCAGAATCTGCTCCTTTGGATTCTTCCATGAGCACTCCCAATTCCTACCCCTCGGTGAATGAGATGTTTGGACGGAAAAGAAAGAAGCGAACCAGCATTGAGACCAACATTCGCTCTACGCTGGAGAAAAGATTTCAAGATGTGAGGGGGGGAAAAAAAATCTTTCCATGTGTTGTGAACTCTCTCTGAGTGTGGCATTTGCTAGGTCAGAGTAGCACCGAATCCTCTAAAAAAGAGTTTATTTTGATAGCAGGTTAGAAAACACTCTAAGGTGTTAACAGGAAAAGTGTCAGAACCAAAGAAATCAGACCCCATTATTCCCTTGGTAATAGCTGTTTTAAAGGAATTACAGTTTCCTCATCACACCTCCCCATTACCTCCCACTGATCAGTGCCCTACCCCAGCTGATGTCCTGCACCCACCTCTTTGTGAGTTGTGGGTGTGTGTCACGGGAACTGTGTGGTCACAGCACAGAAGCGGATGCCCCCTTAAGCAGGTCTTGTCGGACCACAGAATTAGTCGCTCCAGATATTGCTGCTGAGTCATTTCAGAGATGGAGCCTTTTCCTTGTTAAGCATCAAGATTCTCAAGAAAAATCACTACAGAGAGCAAAGGGTGCTTTAAATCAGTAGGATTAACTTGTCCACTGAAAAATTTTCATCAAAACTGCTTTTGACCAGCTCTCCTTTTGTCTTGGTTTCTCCCTCATATCTGATCATACCAAAATTTCCTCCTAATACTGTTAATGAGAAGAAATCATTGTCAGATCATTATGGCCTCCTCATTTTCAACTAGTATGAGACATTCTTTGTAATGGGAAAACTCTCTTGAAATCTACGTGCCTAAGTATTTTTGACCTTCAAGTCTCCAACTCAGATAAAAATCCATAGAGATAAATGCTGTTAAATACAACAGAAAACAAGTTACTTGGAAGCAAGGATAGGTACTATTACTTCCCTCCTGGGTGGAGGAAGAAAGAGAAGAAATGGCTCTTCTGAGATGGTGCAGATAGGCGTACAAGCAGCACTTAGAGCTTGTGTGTCCTGCGCAGTGATAAGAGGACCATCAGTCATTAGTTTCCCCCCAAGCAATGATTTAGGGTACTGTTAAGATCAAAGAGCGTGGTGCTTTATGCAAGAACAGGGCCAGGTAATGTGACTCATCCCCCACTGCTTGCATGAGACCTGCTGTTGAATCGGAGGCACTTTCTGGTTCACAGAACGTGATCTCTCACCCAAATATTTACTCTTTGTCTTAGAAGCAAATTTTCTCCCCTCTCCAGTTTACAGCCAACCCCACCCTTTTCCTCTGCCTTTCCAGCAGCAGAAGCATACATTGATGCTGTAAGCTACGGCTTTTTGGGGCTTCCTTTTAACCTCCTGCCCTTTCTCAGCAGAACCCCAAGCCCAGTTCAGAGGAGATATCATTGATAGCAGAGCAGCTCTCCATGGAAAAGGAGGTGGTTCGGGTCTGGTTCTGCAACCGGCGCCAGAAGGAAAAAAGGATCAGCTGCCCGATGCCATCCCCCATCAAATCACCTATCTACAATTCCAGACTGGTGAGAGGCTTGGGATTAAGGAGCTCCGTGTGCCATCCCCGACAAGCTGGGAGAACTGGTGACAGCGTGTCCTTGTAATCCACTGTCAGTGGCTACTACTGCATTTCTGCTAGTTAATAGTCACTCATTTGCTCCCACATATAAAAGTGGCAGGAACCTTCCTACGGTGTTGTTAATGCTGGAGCACTTGTGAGTGGGAGGGAGAATATGTATTTGTAAGCAATATTTTATCTTGAAATCTTCTGGGTTTTGGTATTATCCATCGGAAGGCAGGAAAACATCACAAGAAGTTTGGTCGCTTGTTGCACAACACATTTGGTCTACAGTCACAAACACAAAATGCTGCTTGCAAGCCATGAATTTTCAAAGCAGTAGCTTCAGTGAATAATTTTCCTGTGAATGCGTTGTACAGAGTGTGCCTTTGCTCATCAGTCATTCTGAACAACGTGTTGCCTGTAGTTAAAGTATCACGGAGGAACAGCAACTGCCCCAGGCTCGCTTTGATTGCAGCCACCAAATTACTAATTGTCACCTGAGAATTGTCACCCATGGAGAACTCCCTAAAGGAAAAGGGATTATTTGTGCCCAAGACCAGAGTGAGCTGGGAGGGCCCAGACTAGGGACATCCAGTCTGGAACATGCCAGCAGCAATGGGCTCCTACCAATGGGTTCTCAGGACTTCCAGAAAGTTTGGCTTGTATTTGGTAATTTCAGGCTTTTCCATAGCTGATCCATAGATCTGTGTAGAGTGTCAGGCATATGTAGCACTCATTCTGATTTCTTTGCATGACCCTGGCTATGAGAATGGTGCTTCTACACCTGAGTATGAATAGAAATAACAGTGGGAGCCTCAGCTGTAGATCAGAAGTCTGCCTGGGAGCCAGCACACTCTGAAAGGAATGGGAAAGGAGTGGCATTTTTGTGATCTATACCCTCATAGTGCCAACTGCTTACTGCTTGCTTCTGTTTCTCTCTAGGTCTCTACCTCAGGGTCCTTGGGGCCCCTCTCCGTCAATCCAGTGCATAGCACCATGCCTGGGACTGGTAAGCCTTAAGAAACCTGCATTCCCATTCCTTCCCTCCTTCCTCTGATTTGGCTCTGTGACTACTTGGCTTCTAGGTTGCAGTTTCAGGTCACTCTTATTAAGACCCTTGGGTTTGGCCAGGGAAAATATCCCCAGATAACTAGTGTGCAAGGGATAAGAACAGCAGAGTCTTTGCTGAGACAAAGACATGGAAAGCTTCCTGGGCATGGTAACATTCCCAGGATAATCCTAGGCAAATTTTATTGGGGTGTCTTGATTTGGGAGCCAGGCACGCCTAGAAGCCAAACAAGAGGAGTGCTTAGGGGTAGGTTACTGCATTTCTTCAGGAAAACACTGTCAAATCTCCTTTGAGAAGTGCAGTTCACAGTAATAGGAGTTAAGTGATACTGACAGAGCAGTCCTGGAGACCTTCTGGTCCTCTGTGCGGGGGCACAGATTCTGCCTTGCTGCTGCAGGCCAAACAGTGAATCAGGATGGGTACAAGATGTGGTGGAAGCGTCTGGGCTTGGGATGTCCTTGGCAGGAAAAGGAGATCCCAGGCTTATTCTGCTTTCTCTGCTACACAGTAACATCATCGTGTTCCCCAGGGAACTCCAGCAGGCCCTCGTCCCCTGGCAGTGTGCTCCATGCCAGCAGCCCCGGCACAGCCCAGAGCAACTCCAAAGCTGCAATGAACTCCTCTGGATTCAACTCTTCAGGGTAAGGCAGTAGGGACCCACTGCTTGCTCCTCAGCAAGGGCATTGGAGGGCCTGGGAGAAAGGCAATGGGACCTTAGAGGAAAACGTGCAAGCCCTTAGAGACCAACGTGGAGCTACGTGACAGCATGTTCTTACATGAAGCTTCACATCCAACCTGAAGTTTCTTGGGATATGGCTATTTTTCTGCTTGAAGACAAATAGTAAATCAGGTTTAGCCTGAAAAACCATGCTGGTTAAAAACAACAACAAAAAATAAAACAAACTCGCCTCCTCAACAAAAGCTGGATAGAAACACTGGCCATAAGGACTGTCCTAAACTAAGTCCTTGTGTGGGGGGAGCAGAGGAAGGCTTATTTTGCTGTCTCTGCTTGGATAACCCCCTCCACAGCCAGTTTTCTCTCCTGCAGTGTAAGTATCCCACAGCAACAGATGAAACAAGAACAAAGGTTCTCCTCTGCCTCGTCTTTAGATGCTGCAAAAGCATTAGGTCTCATGTATAGGCTCAAGGCCCTTCTGGTTATTTTGAACATTATTATGAGCGTGCCTCTGCCACAGGCTGTGCTGCTCAGGCTGCTCTGCACTTGCAGTTTCTGCTACTTGTCGCGCATCGCATCAAGGATGCTGCGTTAGTAGGAAGGCAGCAGAGAGCAGAGGGTGTTACGCCTTGCTCCTGGGCTTTCTGAGTCACGGATCATCCTGTGCCGTGAATCAGATCTCCTCTTACATGGAGGAAGTCCAGCAGCCAGCTAGGATGTGAAATCATGAGCACAAGGGAAGATCTTGCTTAGGAAGATGGGTTTTGCTATGAGCTTCCTATAGGAGCAAAGGGTCACTTGCTGGCTGCCAAGTCGAAGTAAGGTTACAAACAGATTAATAATGATTTTTATTTCAAGGGGAAACTGTTAACAACATGGCAATTGTAGCTCTTATTCCCTGTGTTGCAAACAGATCTTGGTACCGATGGAATCAACCTACCTACCTCCACTGAGACGACTCCTCCATGACGTGTAAAAGGAGCTCTGACTTCTAGCTGTGGACCGACTTCTCTAGGAACAATGTTTGGGTCAACATCTGGCGTTCCAGTGCCTTCAAAATGCTGCCAAGTGAAGGTCGTGTTTAAGGGAAGCCATAGCAGCAGAACTCTCCAGGGACTCAAACTGCAGCTGACCTTCCCCAAGGATCTGCAACGCCAACCGTGACATGATAATACTCTTCCAGGAATTCACTTCAAGAATGAGCCCTTGCTTAGCACTATCAGCATGAAACACTGCCCTCTGCTTGCAAATCTCTGCATTCACACTGGATTGCCTGGCAATCTCTTATCTGGAAGGATTTCTATGTCAGGACCCTCTTTCCCCCTCACTCATTTCAGAGCTTCCCATAAGAAGGGTCTATCATGCTGTTGCTATCACGCACACACACCACAAACACCCAAACTGAGCCAAGGTTACCCAGTTCATTTCACCAGAGACCTGTGTCTACATGTGAGCCTTGGTTTTCAATAGACTTCCAAGGTCAATGGCACTGTGCTTTACCCACTACCACTCTTGCTTTGCTTTGAGCCATTCTGCTCTGTTCCTAAAGGCGCTTTATTTCTTTTTTCTTTTTTTTTTTTAATTAAGTATTTTAAAGCTTTCTTATTTTTTCCTTTAAAAAAAAAGGTTGTCTTTTGCAAAACTTGTGTCCAGGTCTTGTTATTGTTCACAGCTGGCCTCACTGCCCCACTGGTGGACATCACTGTTCAAAACCCTTGGGTGAATTTCCCACTCCATTCAACACAAAAGCAGTTTGTGTTGATTTGATGTGATAAGGTTTCGTCTTGACCTTCCCTTCTTTCTTTTATCCATCCTTTGGGTTTTATCTGGTACCAAACGAAAATAACCTCTCTGGAGTAGAGGCGTGCATGCGTTCTGGTCTTTCCTGAATTGTAAGTAATGCAGCTTGCCTGTTCTCTGCAGCATGCTCTTCTGTTCCTGGGGGACAAGTTGTACTGCTCAGGTGTGAATCTCGGGGTTTGCGTGTGCAAGCATTTCTTAATTCCGTGAGATGCCAAAGTGTAGGAAACTTCACCTTTCACAGCGTATCACCAGGGAAACTTTTGTTACTTTGCAACTCTTGACTTGAAAAGGGGTAGATATTTAATTTTAAAGTAGACTTGAGTAATACGAGTTCCTGGTCAGGTTGTCTATGGGTACAAGTAATTAATTCAGTGGAACTAGAGTAAATGGGTATCTGGTTCACGGATTGTAAATAGACATTTTTGAGTAGTAGTCTTTTTTTTTTTTCTGATGGCTTTTTTTTTAAGTAAAGTTATCCTTTGTCACTTCTAGGGGAAAAAATACTTGATCCGTCGTTTCTTATCCTACTCACCCAGTCCTGTGTGACGAATTATTGCTGTAGGGAGTCTGCAGACCCTAAGGTTTATCAGCTACCTTCACACAAAGTATTGAGCCCTACGTGCACATTGTACATAGAACTGCATTTGTTGCTTTGAGTGAGGTTTTGTTACAGGAGCAGGCACTGATCATAATGAGAGGGGACTGGAAAAGATTAGGTAGCATTTATTCAAAAATGGAAACTAAGAACATTTTTTTTAAATACTGAAATAAGGGGTTTTTTTTCCAAAATGTCCTAACACAAGAAAGGAAGAAATTGTATTTCTGTTTCCTGGATTCCCCACCACCACCCATTTACCTCTAACTGCAACACTTTTGTCATATCTGTTTTACAGTGCAAACATTAAAATTAAATGAAACTTTTTTTTTCAGCAAAATCTGTTGTGATTTAAAAAACATTTTGTGTTGGGAAAGCAAGAAATTCAGATGGGAAGTATTAATCTAACTCTCCTGATTGCTATGGCCCTTCTTTCTGCAATTAATTAAACCTCCTTACGTGCTTGAGGGGTTGATTTCAAGCCTTGTCCTCTGTTGCTTTCCAATGACACCATATTTAAGCATTTTGCCTGATTCATTCCCATTAATTTCATGTAAGCAGCTGAGTCAAACTGGCTGGGAGGCGGGTGGCTTGAGACCAAGGGATCTGTACTGAAATGGCTGAACGCTGCCAAGGGCTTCTGCCCTTGCACAAGAGATGCTACAAGTCCTAAGGGAGAGGTGTAGGTGAGAACTGGCCTCTCCAGAGATAGAATACAATTAATACCCTTCATTATGGAAACAAGTGCATCACAAGATGGCACACTACTAAGAAAATGATGCTCTCTCTGAGGCAGAGGGCTATCTGCACATTGGTATTACAGCTGAAATCAAAGCCAAGCTGTGTCAGGTGTTGTGCAAACACATCATGAGAGTTGATCTCCACTGAAAAGTTTATAAACACAAGAACAGGTCTCTCGTATTTATTGATAAACTGGTCCTGCATAGGAAAACAATCACTGGCAGCTTGTTTGTTTCACAGAAAGCTCCAGTTGAAAGGGAAAGGTCTTCGTTCCCTTGTCTTCTAGGAACACTTCCAGTCTCACAGGAGCAGCTAAGGGATTAAAAAATTACACAGCAGGAAATTCCAGCTTTCCAAGACTAGGAGTCACCTCCTGCAGCCTTAGATAAACAATGCAGGGAACAATTGCTCACAGGCAGATGTGCCTCACAGCGGCTATAGAAACACATCATCTTCTAAACAACCTGATCTGCTACCAGAGCAGCCCAGAACGGTCTCTATACTCTCTGTCCCTGCTCTTGTCTTGAAAAGAGCTCCTCAGCTGTGCCACCATTAGGACTGAAGCATCAGTGACGTGAACCCCAGGAGTGAGTGAAGAGCCAGCTGAGTCCCTATCTAAAAACACCCCTATCGCTTGTGAATATAAGGGGTGTGAGAGAGACAAAAAGCAAGAAAAATGAGGAAGTTTTAGCCCAAATGTAAGAGCAACCCATAATCTACAATCCAGCTAGAAGCATATTTTAATGGGTTACCAGAGCTTTTATAACACAGGGAAGCATTCTAGGGGGTGCAGCACACACAACAGACCTTAGTGACCATAGATGAGGCCTCTCATGCTCTGGGTGATTTGTTTCACTCCCCGCATAGAGGTCTTTGGCTGTAAGGAAGGTTTGGGTCGTTTGGGACACACAATTTACTCTAGACAGCTTTTAAAGCAAATTGAATAAACAGAAATTACACAGCACCAGCACAGCTCTCTGTCAGGGCTTGGGGAAATCACAGCCCTTTCCTGGTTACTCATCACTGCCTCTGCCTGGCCGTGATGTTCAGCCTCAACTCAGCTCCTCACTCACTCATCCTGTTCTGCATGTTTTGTGCTTTTACTGCATGTCCTGCACCACTCCCCAGCTCCAGACCTAAGCAATCCCAAACTTACTGACTCCTGTTTTAGCCTCCCCCGGGGCAGTCAGCACAGGACAACACAAAGGTGGGCACCACAAGCCTGTCCATCTGGCTTCTGCTTTCAAAACCGGTATAAAACTTCAAAGAGGACACCAGGACAATTTAAAAAAAACAACCATAGGATAAAAGCACATCCCCTCTTGCCTGATCTAGCTTTATTCTCCACTTTATTCTCCTTCAACAGAGAGAAAAGCATTCGGCCAAATTACAGTCTGGAGACCCTGTGGGGCTCTTGCAGCTGGGAGGGCTGAGGCTGGACGAAGGTACCAGCCCAGGGGACGCACTTCAAACGCCTGACATTATTTCTCCTACCCTGTTTCCCCTTCCCACGGCCCTTTCCCTGTCCCGGGACACCGAGCTGCGCTAACCCGGATCGCTTTCGCCTCCGGGGCACGTAAGCAGGGCAGAGCAAACGGGAACGGGGAACGGAGGAGCAGGGGTAGCATCCTCCAGGAACGCGGAGACGACAAGCAAAGACCCTGCCCGGCCGCAGCTGCCTCGGCCGGGGGCGGGGAAAGGAGGGGAGGGAAGATAAACGCCTCTCGGTGTTCGACGCCTCACTTCCCGGGTAGTCCCGGAGTTCTCAGAGCCGGAGAGGGGCAGGGGTAGGCGGCAGCGGCGGGGCCGGGGTGAGGAGCGAGGTACCGGTAAGGGGAGCCCCGGGGCAAGTCCAGGAGCGCCTGTTCTGCCCCTAGCCCTGTGCTGTGGAGGGGGCTCCGGCTGTCCCGGTCCCCCGC